TGCTTCATCTGCATAGGGCACCAATTCACCTCAGCCTTTAGCCACAGACCAAATCCTTCATCTAGAAAAGGGGTACCCAATAGGAACCTCAAAAGGAGCACTTAAATCCCAGAAAACTTTGCAACTGGGCCCTTAAGCTGCTTGCTTGGGCCCATTCCCACCCTGTGGAGTGCTTTCTTGCTTTAATACATTCCTGCTTTTGCTGTTTCGTTCCTGTGTTTCATTCCTCTGTTATTTTGGTTGTATGTTTTGTCCAATTCTTTGTTGAAAAATGCCAGGGACCAGGACAACTTACACTCAAGTGCCTCCTTCCGATAACAGGTGAATAACCCAAACCTTCATTCCTGAAGGGCTTGGGGCACTTTCAGTGCTGCCTGTGGTGGTGGTGTTTTCTATTAACTTTAATTATAAAACATAGGATTACTTAGTCCCCTGCTCAGGAAATCACCTGCATTCTAGACATACTTTTCCTTAACCTCATTGTGTAGTCAGAATAACTTGATAGTTAGGATTAATCACCCCTGCCAATACAGAAGGCCCCTTCTTCACCTGTTAATTCACCAGCATGAGGAGCCTAAGGTGGCCAAATGGCAGTCTCAGCCTCAAGTTTAATGGACTCATTGGCATGCCTCTTCTTGGAAACATTCCTGCTTTTGGGATCGACTCTACACCGGTGGTTCTCAATTGAGGAAGATTTTGCTCCCCCTGGAGGACATTTGGCAATGTCTGGAGACATTTTTGCATTGCCACAACTGGGGAACAGCTGCTACTGACATCTAGCGGTAGAGACCAGAGATGCTGCCAAGCTTCCTACATTGCAAAAGACTATCCCTCATAAAAGAGGATTATCCAGGCCAAAAAGACAATAATGTTGAGGTTGAAAAAGTCTGCTCTAAACCAGTAGAGCCCAGAGTTGTGGAGATAGGAAGCAAACATTTGTCTAGGGCATCATTAGCAATAATACAGAGAGGATCTACTCCCATTTGCAAGCCTTGATTCCCAGACTCCATGAATCTTGGCTGTGGGAGAAACAGCACCACGTATTGGTGATTGATGATTTATAGCACATACCCACAAGGTATTGTACCTAGCTCACACTGGAACTGAGTTATCACAGGCCATTTCACCATTTTAACATGGCAGCTGCTTTATTTTATTTTGGTAAAAGAAATTAGCCCACGCTGGAGTGCAACGGGGTCATCTCGGCTCACTGCAACCTCTGCCTATTGGGTTTAAGTGATTCTCCTGCCTCAGCCTCCCTAGTAGCTGGGATTACAGGCGCCTGGCACCTGGCTAATTTTTGTATTTTTAGTAGAGATGGGGGTTTCACCATGTTGGTCAGGCTGGTCTTGAACTCCTGACTTCAGGTGATCCTCCCACCTCGGCCTCCCAAAGTGCTGGGATTACAGGAATGAGCAACTGCGTCCAGCCAGCCACTTTAAAGTATATAATCCAGCGGCATTAGTTATATTCACATTGTTGTGCAACCATCACCATTATGTGTTTCCAAACTTTCCCATCACCTCAAACAGAAATTCTGTAACTTTTAAGCAACAATTCCCTGTTTCACCCTCTCTCAGTCCCTGGTAACCTCTAATCTACTGTCAGTCTCTGTAAAATTACCTATTCTAGATATTTCATATAACTGAAATCATACAATATTTGTCCTTTTGTGCCTGGCATATTTAACTTTGTTTTCAAAGTTCAGCCAGGATACAAAATTCAGTTCTGATAGCAAGTGTCAGAGCATCATTCCTTTTTACGGATGTATAATATCCCATGTGTATATCACATTTTATTTATCCATTTATCAGTGGATGGACACTTGGTTTGTTTCTACCTTTTGGCTATTGTAAATAATGCTGCAATGAACATGAATGTACACATATATATTTCAGTCCCTGTTTTCAACTCTTTTGAGTATATACCTAGGAGTGGAATTGCTGGGTCATATGATAATTTTATGTTTAGGCCATCTACTTTATAATAATGGGGAATATCACTTATCTATTGCTATACGGGATAGGAAATTATCCTAAAACTTTGTGGTTAAAACAATAAACATTGATCCCTCCTTCCTCCTTTCCCTTTCTTTCTTTCCTTCTTTCCTTCCTTCCTTCCTTCTTTCCTTCCTTTCTTTCTTTTTCTTTCTTTATTTTGAGTTTCGCTCTTGTTGCCCAGGTACAATGGCAGGATCTTGGCTCAGTGCAAACTCTGCCTCCCAGATTCAAGTGATTCTCATGCCTCAGCCTCCCAAGTAGCTGGGACTACAGGTGCGTGCCACCATGCCTGGCTAATTTTGTATTTTTAGTAGAGATAGGGTTTTACCATGTTGGCCAGGCTGGTTTTGAACTCCTGACCTCAGGTGATCCATCTGCCTCAGCCTCCCGAAGTGCTGGGATTACAGGTGTGAGCCTGACCCAACACTGATCCTATATCCTCCATGAGTCATGAATCTGTGAGCAGCTTAGCTGGGTGGTTCTGTCCCACAGTTTCTCATGGGGTTACTGTCAAGATGTCTTCCAGCTTACTTGGTGCTGGAAGATCTGCTTCCAAGCTACCTCACCCACATGGCTGGCTCTCCACAGGCTGCCTGAGTGATTCATGACATGGTGACTGACTTCTTTCCAGGCAGATGATTCAAGAGAGTAAGGCAGAAACTAAATGTCTTCTTATGACCTTATGACTTCAGAAATCATGCATCATCACTTTTGCCACACTGTATTTGTTAGAAATAAATCAGCAAATCCTATCCACATTATTGAAGAGGGGACTAAGCCTCAACCTTTTTCAGGGAGCAGTATTAAGGAATTTTTGAACACATTTCAATATGACCACACTATCCACTAATATTTTAAAATTTCAGTATTTTTTATTTCTAGAAGTTCTACTTGGTTACTTCTCCCCAATTCCTCTATGGCACTTTTCATAGTTTATTTTTTATTAGTTAGATATTACTATATAGTAAACTACCTAAAAACGTACTGGCTTAAAACAAGAACCATCTCTTCAGCTCACAATTACATAGGTTAGTAATTTGGACTGGGATCATCTGAGAGTCTTCAGTTCTCTGCAGGACTCCATCATATGTGTGCTCAGCTGTATGTTGCCTAGGAGGCTTTGCTTTTAGGGTTTTACTGGCTATTTTTATTCTCCCCCATTATCCTTATCCTCCACATTTCTGTCCCTTATCATCAGCAGCATAACCTGAGCTTATTGTCCTGAAGAAGGCAGGCATATAAGAGACAGAGGAGACACATACAAAGCCTCTTGGGGCCTTGGTTTGGTATTGGCTGGCCACGTCTGCATACTATTAGCTAAAGGGTCATTCTACCAGGCAAAGTCAACTCAGATAAAACAGGAGGTGAAATAGATCCTACCTTTTTGTGGGAGGAGCTGCAAAGTCACATTGCAAAGGACATGGACACATGGAAGTTTGGAGAATTTGGGGCCATTTTGGCATCAATCTAACACAAATATATGTAGCCTTTTATATAGTCTTTGTCTGAAAATGCTAGTGTCAGATGCCTTTACAGGTCAGATGTTTTAGCTGCTTTTTACCTACCAATCTAATTTTCATTTGTGTCTGGTTATCTTTTGCTGTATGCTGGACATTTTATATAAAAAAGTGTGTGTGGTAACAATTCGAGTTCCACAATAATGCTTCCCAATAAAGGGGGTAATTCTAGTTTTTATCTCCTTAATTCATTTTTTCCTCTCAATTTTTAATAATGATTCATGTTCCATAGGTGATTGCCTATACTATAAACAACAGGGGAAAGTAGAATTTCCCTGGGGAAGATGTCTGGCTTCAAATAGTTCCCTTCATTAGTCTGTAGAGGGACCCCAATTCATGCCAAGAATCAAACAGTCCCTTCACTTACAGAAGCAAGTCAAGTTCTCTATCACTGGCCCAACCTAGGGTTTGAGGCTTCATTTCTACTATTCCCTTAAATGTCATTATATTGAGCAAAACTGAGCAATTCCCTGTTCTGCAACAGTGTACTCTATTTACCTGCCTTCATACAATTCTCTTTACTTGGGATGACCATTTACCCCTAACTTAATCTTTTCCTACAGAAATTTTCTCAAGAGGCAGCTCAAATATCCCCTTGTCAATAAGCCTTCCCAACTGGATGCATTTTTTCCTTCTTCTGAATCCTCTTAGTAATTGGTACTTTTTTTTTTTTTAATTTTTTCCTGTCAAAGTTACAGAAAGTATTTAGTACTTTTTAATGGACTTTTCTGCCTTGAGGTTACTTGTGTATTCATTTTAATCCCCTTCAACTGTAGAGGCCCTACAAATTACATTATCTGACTACACATCTGTTTATTCGTTTTAAAAATATGGAGGGCAGTAGAATATCTCTTACAGGGATGTTGTGAGGATTAAGTTAGCTAACATTTGAAACGCTATTTCCAAGGAATAGTAGTGGGGTGCTCAAATAAATGTTAGCTGTTACTACCATCCCTTAGAAATATTGTGATTTCGATAGAAGAGTTTTCACGAAGGTGAAAGCAGAATCCTAAGAATTCATTTTAAAAATTCTGGGCTGGACACGGTGGCTCACGCCTGTAATCCCAGCACTTTGGGAGGCCGAGGTGGGCAGATCACTTGAGTTCACGAATTCAAGACCAGCCTGGCCAACATGGTGAAACCTTGTCTCTAACAAAAATACAAAAATTAGCTGGGCATGGTGGTGGGCACCTGTAATCCCAGCTTCTCAGGAGGCAGAGACAGGAGACTTGTTTGAACCCGGGAGACGGAGGTTGCAATGAGCCGAGATCGCGCCACTGCACTCCAGCCTGGGCGACAAGGGCTAGACTCCGTCTAAAAAAAAAAAAAAAAAGAAAAAAAAAAGAATAAAGTAAATAAAATTCTAGCATCAAAAGGTAAAGGACAAAAAAACTCACGGAAGGGCAACCACGGAGGCGCCTGCGCAGAGCCGGTTGGGGGGGGCGGGGAGAAAACGGGCGTGCCCAGAGTCGCGGAGGGCGGTGCAGCGCATGCGCGGGGCGGAGCCTGTGGTCCTGGCGGGGCTCTGGGTACCTATCTTCGCATTCGGGTTGTTGCTCAGTAGTTTCCAGGCTCGCGAAAGGGAGGACTCTGTTTGAGTCATGGATTTTGAGAATCTTTTCTCAAAACCCCCCAACCCGGCCCTCGGCAAAACGGCCACGGATTCTGACGAAAGGTGATCCCACATCTTTTTTCATCCTTTGAATGCAGGGGCCCAGCCGGACTCCGCCCTTTAGTTCCTTCTGGATTGGAGCCCGTCCGGGGCTACATCCAGGCCGTGTCGCGAGGGCCAGTGGGGAGCACGTGGGCCGGCCGGGCGCCACCGCCATACCTGGAGAGGTCGTGAGGGGTTCCGGGGGTTAGAAGCTGGACGCGGGGCTCAGGCGTAGGCCGCCACGCCGGGGCTGCCGAGAGCCTGGGCGCGGGGAGCGGGGTGGGGGCGAGGAGGCTCCAGGATGCGCCCCTTTCTTTGCACAGCCGCGGGTTAGGAGCCCACTTCTGTGTTCCCATAGCGTCTATCTTTACCATTGTTGCCTGTTTCCACGAGACCGTAAACTCTCAAAGGACACTGATTTGACCTTTTTCACTGACAGATGCTAGGCTCTTTTCTGTAGGAAGGACGAAACCACAAGTTTATTAAAAGGTAAAGAGTAAGTAGTGAATACTCAGCCGTTAATCCACTGGTTTGTATGGAAGGACCCTCAAGTCCACAATAAAGCAACAAACACCATTTGGATTTAATATTTCCATTAGGTTGGAAAAACAAGCGAGACTCTTGGTCAAATGGCCCTAATTTGTAGATTTCATTTTTGGAGCAGTGTATAGTATTACATCCAGATATTCACTTTTTATTATTTGAATTTGAAATGCTAAAAACCATCTTCTCTCTTAAATCTACTTATTTCCCTCGACTGAGATCTGTTTCCAATTGGGGCTGATTTTACCTCTCGGTATTGGTCAGCTGTTCACTGTATCTCAAATTTTACCTTAATTGATCATCCAGAGCGTTACTTCGTGCTTTACATGAAATAATTCAGTCCTCAAAACAAACTTAAAGAGAAGATGATGCTCTTCTCATTTTACAGATGGGAAAGCTGAGAAGCACGGAGAGGCTAAATAACCTGCCGAGATTGCACAGTGTAAGTGGAAAAGCAATGTCCAGGACCCATGATTTTATCACCAAGCTTCAAAATGACTAAGGCCTATAAATATTGAAAAGAGACAAAGACACTAATTACTTGCAGATGATATAATTTACTAAGAAAAATAACAGGAACTAATTGATACATTATAGAATACATAAGAATTTATTACAAAAAATGATAATAGTCACATGTAAAAATCCCAACGGCAGCTATCTGTTTGAAAGTATATTGGAAGTCCATTCTCCAAAACTTGACTGCAATACATAAAAGACACTTGGAATTTTGCCAAAATGATGGGTGAAGGATGATATGGAAGTATGGTGAGTTGTCCATATTATTTGCCCATTTTTCTCTTTTTTAGTCTTTGAAATTCTAGGATCTCTTATCTGCAAATACTTCACTCACAATTGTCATCTCTCTTTGCCTATGTCATTTATTTTTCATTGTATAAAGGAATGAGGATGTTGTGGTTTCGTTTTATACAGTCAAATGAATCAGTCTTTTCTCATATGGTTTCTGGTTTTTTTCCAAGTAATATGGGACTACTTCTGATTCACTCAGAAAATCGTTGGAGCGCCTTGGGGTTGTAGCAGTAAATGAACAAGATGTGAAAATTCCTGTACTAATGAATTTACATTATTGGGGGAGGGGGAGACAAACTACATAAATGTATCATATTTTAGGTGGTATTAAATGCCCTGAGAAAATGAATGAAGGTAAGGGGAAAATGAATGAAGGGTAAGGGAAAGTACTGGTGGGATGGTAGGGAGGATGTAGATATTTTAAGAAGGTAGATAAGGAAAGCCTCACTGATAACATTGGTAAGTTTAAAAAATCTGTGCAGGGACCTGAAGGAGGTGAGGGGGTTTCATGTCTGGAGGGATGGAGAGGATTCTGTGTAAAGGTCTACACAGGGAGTGAGCTTTGTGTGATTGGGTTAGAGGAGCAAAGTGAACAGAATGACAGCTGGGGTGGAGTAAGAGGGACTTGGAAGTCTGCGAGGTATTGGGCTAGGGTTGGGGGAGGCCAATCATGGAGGAACTGGTAGGTGCCAAAATAAGGACTTTGGCTTTTACTCTGAGTGAGACAAGATACCGTTGGAGAGTTTTGCAGCAGAGTGACATTTGACATATTTTAGCAGGGTCATTCTGGTTGTGTTGAGAGTAGAATGTAGGGGCTCCAGAGCAGCTTGGATTGTTGTATTAGTGGAAGAAGTGGTCAAACCTGGGTATGTTGAAGATAGAACAAAGTGGATTTCCTCAGAGATTGGATGGGGGATGTGAGAGAGGAGTCAAGATTGACTTTAAGGTTTTGGAAGGGATGTTGAGAGAGACGTTGCCATTTTAGAAAGCAAGAGGTTTAGGCTTCAGATGGAAGAGCAAGAGTTCAGCATTGGATATGTTAAGATTACATATGTCTAGAATATGTTCAGGTGGTTATGTTGAGTAGGAACTTAGCTCTGTTCTGTTTTAAGAGGAGGATTTGGATTGGAGACTTAGATATTGAAATGAACTACATATAGATGATATTCAAAATGATGATACAGACAAAGAAGAGAAGTGTGAGAACTGACTTTTAAAGTTGTGAAGACAAAGAACCAATGAAGGAGACTGAGAAGTAGCAGCTGTGAGGACAGAAGAAACTAGGAGAGCTCACTATCTCTGAAGCTAAGCAAAGAACATGCTTTACAGAGAAGAGGCGTCAACTCTGTCCTATCCTGCTCGTAGGTCTAATATGGGCGCTGAGTATTGTAGACCTTAACAGTGAAAGTAGACGTCCATTTAGAATGGGCAGTGTGGAATAATAGTGTGGTTTTAGGGCACATACTTGGGAGCCCTGCCTGCCTGCCTGCTGGGACTCAGATCTCAGCTCCAGCACTATTAGCTCTGTGACAATTACATAACCTTTCTGTGATTGTTTTCTCATCTGTAAAGTGGGTTTTTAGTATGTATGTCATAACATTGTTGTGATAAGTATTACATGTATGGAGCAGCCTCTGACACAGAGTAAACATCATTGAAGTGTTGGCTGCTGCTGTTATTGATAATAAGGTCATTATTGTCATTATTACTCTGCCTAAGGAGGGGTTGCCTCCTACTCCTTGAGTTGGTTCATTACTGGATACTATAGCAATAAAGGTTCACCAGTATTTGGGGTTTTTGGCTCTTGTAATGGTGGCTTCTGTAGGAGGCTCACAAGCTGGTACCTCATCTGATGGATGTAACTCAGGAGCTGTGAGTCATTGTAAACTGTTGAATTGGACAAAGCTGTGAAGCCTGAGCTCCTGTCACTTTGAAAGAAGAGCCGCAATCTCAGCACTGTTCACATTCTGCTTGTGCTATCAGTGCTTTCCCTTTGTAACACGTTCTCTTAAGATGGGACACATTGCCCAATTCCTTGCCTTTATCTGGTGTATAACTCATATTTTAATTCACAGCTTTCCTAATCTTGTGTTCAGTAGTAACCACTTACTAAGACACTATTTTCTTCAGCTCCTTGTGTCTCTAGCATCAGCAATTGTTCAAATACACCTATACATTTTATTGGTTCACCAGTTTCTTATATTTCCCATCGTTCTTGGGTTCATTTTTAGTTTTGCTGGAATATCCTCAAGTAATTGTCTCAGACTATTATATATATGCATGATCAGCTTCTCAGTCCTGTAAGTCTGAAAACAGGTTTTCCTTTTCATTTTTACACTTAAATACGTTTGTCTCTCTCCTAACCTCAAAAGGTACTCTGCATTCTGCCTAAAATACCCTTTTCCTTCACATTCCTCTTTCCTCTTTGTTGGCTAACTCATAAGTTTTTTGTTTGTTTGTTTGTTTGTTTGTTTTGAGATAGAGCTTTGCTCTTGTTCCCCAGGCTGGAGTGCAATGGCATGATCTCGGCTCACCGTAACCTGCACCTTCTGGGTCAAGCAAGTCTCCTGCCCCAGCTTCCCAAGTAGCTGGGATTACAGGCATGCACCACCACGTCCGGCTGATTTTGTATTTTTAGTAGAGATGGGGTTTTTCCGTGTTGGCCAGGCTGGTTTCAAACTCCCAACCTCAGGTGATCTGCCCACCTCAGCCTCCCAAAGTGTTGGGATTACAGGCGTGAGCCACCACACCCAGCCTAACTCATAAGTATCTTTTAGGCTTCACATGCCTCTGGTACCCAAGTCTAGGTTGTGTTCTGTGTATATGCCCCTATACTTACCATACCATATTGAAATAGCTTTATTTTTTTCTTCCAAGCATATAGAAGGCTCTCAGAAGACAATGATAGGGTCTGTATTTTTCATTATTGTCGTCCAGGGCCTAAGGCCCAGAGCCTCGTATATAGTGGGTACTCAGTAGTTGTTGAATTAATGGAATGATGGATGAATGATTTATATAGCTGCTAGTACTTGAATATTAAGATCGTATAATCTAAAATTTAGTTTTACAGGTTATTCATAAACATGTTGACATTTATTGCTCATCATAATTTTGTACATTATCTGGAGTATTTGGAGTAGAATTTGAGTTTGTAATTTCTTTGAGGATAAGTTGAAGACAAGCCAAAGCAGTGAATTGTAATGCTGTGGTATGAACTCTTCAGGTTGAAAAAACCCTTTTCTGTTATTTGATATTTTTGCTACAGAATCGTTGATGAAGTAGATGTTGCAGGAGTTGAAGAAACACAAGAAGAGAAATCTAAACAGGAGTGCGAGCAAATTTCCAAAAAAGTAAGATTAAATTGACAACTGTTGAAGTTGAAAACACAGATTTTTTTCTCAGTTTCACGTAGAACAACAAAGAAAAAGCATAGGAATGGATATGAGAAATTAATGAAGGATCCTACTTGTCTCATTTTAACCAGATTTGGGACCCAGTTACTTATATCAAAGAAACCTAGTTATACTTTTTAAAGAAATTATTATTCAATAACTTTATTGTCATTTAACATGACCTATTTTTAATAATTGTCTATTTTGATTTTTGTTATTTCTGAAGTGGATTGTAAACAGTTTCAAAAACTTCTTTTGCCGAGTGCAGTGGTTCATGCCTATAATCCCAGCACTTTGGAAGGCCAAGGCAGGCAGATCACCTGAGGTTGTGAGTTCGAGATCAGCCCGACCAACGTGGAGAAACCCCATCTCTGTGAAAAATAGAAAGTTAGCTGCGCGTGGTGGCATGCCTGTAATCCCAGCTACTTGGGAGGCTGAGGCAGGAGAATTGCTTGAACCCGGGAGCTGGAGGTTGTGGTGAGATTAGATCACGCCATTGCACTCAAGCCTGGGCAATAAGAGCAAAACTCACTCACTCTCTCTCTCTCTCTCTCTCTCTCTCTCTCTCACACACACACACACACACACACACACACACACACACACACACAGAGCTTTTTTCAACTTAACATTTTTGAGGGTTATGATTTCCTAACTTAACTAACCTTAGTGATTTATAGCTTAAAGCCTGTATTGGTTCATTAGGGCTTCCATAACAAAGTACCATAGACTAGGTTGCTTAAACAACAGAACTTTAGTGTCTAAGGTTCTGGAGGCTGGAGGTCCCGGCACAAGCTGTTGGCAGGGTTGGTTCCTTCTGAGGGCTGTGGGGAAGAGTCTATTCATTCCTCTCCCCTAGTTCCTGATAGAGTGCTGGCAATCTTTAATGATGTTGGCTTGCAAAAATATCATCTTGATCTCTGCCTTCATATTCACATGGTGTTCTCCCTGTGTGCCTGTGTCTGAATTTCCCTTTTTTTTTTTTTTTTTTTGGAGACAGTCTTCCTCTGCCACCCAGGCTGGAGTGTAGTGGCACAATCTCAGCTCACTACACCCTCCACCTTCTGGGCTCAAGCAATTCTTAGCCTCCCAAGTAGCTGGGATTACAGGTGTGCACCATCACACCTGGCTAATTTTTGTATTTTTTTTGTAGAGACAAAAAATACATGGATTTCGCCATGTTGCCCAGGCTGGTCTTGAACTCCTGGGGTCAAGTGATCTGCCTGCCTCAGTCTCCCTAAGTGCTGGGATTACAGGCGTGAGCCACCTCATCCAGCCTCCTTAGCCTTATAAAAGAGTACAGGACAGAAGATAAAGCAGGTACCGTATCTTCATCTTCTTGGAAGCCTCTCAGCTACACAAGTAAGCAACTTCTTTTGCCCTTTGGGGCCTGTGTAGCTTCCAAAGATGAAAGCCAAGGTTGACAACAGGAAATCACAACTTGAACTTCCCGCACGTTTTTTATGCTACTTTAGTCACATAGGCCTCACTCTTTTATGCCGACTTTTAGCTCCTCCAGTCTTTGTATATTATAGCCTTCTACAGCAGACAGGCAGAAACAACATTCTATAGTTGTCTTACATAATTTCCACAAAACAGTACTGTGAGAAGATGGACTCCTAGGTTATTCCCAGCCGGGCTTGCTTCAGCGCAGGCTCTTCACTCACAAGTGCGTAAAAGGTGAATAAGTTATCAAGTAAATATCACAGCTAATTAATTAATTGATTAATTTATTTTTGAGACAGAGTCTCACTTTGTCTCCCAGGCTGCATTAAAGTGGTAAAATCTTGGCTCACTGCAATCTCCACCTCCCAGGTTCAAGCAATTCTCCTGCCTCAGCCTCCCGAGTAGCTGGGATTACAGGTGACTGCCACCCACCTTGCCTGGCTACTTTGTGTATTTTTATTAGAGATGGGGTTTTGCCATGTTGGCTAGGCTGGTCTCAAACTCCTGATTTATTTTTATTGATTTTATTTATTTATTCATTTTTTAAAGACGGGGTTTCACCATGTTGGTCAGGCTGGTCTTGAACTCCTGACCTCAGGTGATCTGCCCGCCTCGGCCTCCCAGAGTGCTGGGATTACAGGTGTGAGCCACCGCGCCCGGCTCTGAAACTCCTGATTTCAAGTGATCAGCCTGCTTTGGCCTCCCGAGGTGCTGGAATTACAGGTGTGAGCCGCAATGCCTGGCCACAACTTATTTAAAAGAGAATACCCAGGTAAACACTTTGCAAGTTAAGAAAGAGCATTACCTCAGAGATATTGATGGTTTGATTTCAGACCACCACAATAAAGCAAATATTGCAGTAAAGCTAGGCACACAAATTTTTTGGTTTCCCAGTGCATATAAAAGTTACCTTTATACTATACCGTAGTCTGTTAGGTGTGCAATACCACTTTATCTTAGAAAACAGTATATATCTTAATTAAAAATTCTTTGTTGCTAAAAAATGTTAATGATCAGCAAGTCATCGTCTTTTTGCTGGTAGAGGGTCTTGCCTCAATGTTGATGGCTGCTGAGGGTGGTGATTGGTGAACATTAAGGTGGCTCTGGCAGTTTCTTAAAATAGGCCAGTAGTAAAGTTTTTCACCTCAATTGACTTCTCCTTTTAGAAAAGATTTCTCTGTAGTATGTGATGCAGTTTGATAGCATTTTACCCACAGGAGAACTTTCAAATTTGGCGTCAATTCTCTCAACCTCTGCCACTGCTTTATCAACTAGGTTCATATAATATTCTAAATCTGTTGTCATTTCAACAATATTCATAGCATCTTCACCAGAAATAGATTGCATCTCAAGAAACTACTTTGCTTACTCATAAGAAGCAACTCCCTCATCTGTTCAAGTTTGATCATGAAATTGCAACAATTCAGTCATGTCTTCAGTCTACTTCTAATTCTAGGTCTTGTGCTATTTCATACACCACACTTGCAACTGCTTCCTCTACTGAAGTCTTGAACTCCTCAGAGTCATCCCTGATGATTGAAATTAACTTCTTTCAAACTCCTGTTAATGTTGACATTTGACCTTCTGCCATGAATCATGAGTGTTCTTAATGGCATTTAAAATAGTGAATGCTTTCTAGAAGGTTTTCCATTTACTCTGCCCAGATCCATCAGAGAAATAACTTTCTGTGGCAACTATAACCTTAAAAAGTGTATTTCTTTCTGAAATAAAACTTGAAAGTCAATTATTCCTTGATCCGTGAGCTGCAGAATGGATGTTGGATTTGTGGACATGAAAATCATTCATCTCCATCTGAGCTCCTGGGTGCATTGTCAGTGAAAATATTATTTCAAAAGATATTTTTTCTGAACAATAGGTCTCAACAGTGGGCTTAAAATATTCAGTAAACCCTGCTGTAAACAGATATACTGCCATCTAGGCTTTGTTGTTCCATGTATAGAGCATAGGCAGAGTATATTTAGTGTAATTCTTAAGGGCCCTAAAATTTTTAGATTGGCAAATAAGCATTGGTTTCAACTTAAAGTCACCAGCTGCATTAGCTCCTAACTAGAGTTAACCTTTTTGAAGCCTTTTGAAGTATTTTTTTGTTTGTGTAAATTTAGGGGTGCAAGTACAATTTTGTTACATGCATAGATTGTAGTGGTGAAGTCAGGGTATTCTTTGAAGCTTTGAAGTGAGGTATTGACTTCTCTCTAGTTATGAAAGTCTTAGGTGGTATCTTCCAATATAAGGCTGTTTCATTTACATTGAAAATCTGTTGTTTATGGCCACCTTCATCAATGATCTTAGCTAGATCTTCTGGATAATTTGCAGCATTTACATCAGCACTTGTTGCTTCATGTACTTTTTTTTTTTTTTTTTTTTTTTGGAGACCGTGTCTTGCTCTGTCACCCAGGCTGGAGTGCAGGCATGGGGGTGATCTTGGTTCACTGCATCCTCTGCCTCTTGGGTTCAAGCGATTCTGCCTCAGTCTCCTGAGTAGCTGGGACTACAGGTGTGCAACATCACACCTGGCTAATTTTTGCATTTTTAGTAGAGACAAGGTTTCACCATGTTGGACAGGCTTGTCTTGAACTTCTGGCCTCAAGTGATCTTCCTGCCTCGGCCTCCCAAAGCGCTGGGATTACAGGCTTGAGCCACCACACCCAGCCCATTATATACTTTTATGTGATTGGGGACATTGTCTATCCTCAAACCTCAAGAACCAACCTTTGCTCACGCCAGACTTTTCTTCTGCAGCTTCCTCATGTTTTTCCACCTTTATGAAATTGAAGAGAGTTAGGGCCTTGCCCTGGATTAGGCTTTGGCTTAAGGGAATGTTGTGACTGGTTTGATCTTCTATCCAGACCAATACAACTTCTTCTGTATCAGCAATAAGGCTGTTTTGTGTTCATAGTGTGTTCACTGGAGTAGCACTTTTAATTTCCTTCAAGAACCTTCCCTTTGCATTCACAAGTTGGCTATTTGGCTTATGAGGCCTAGCTTTCAGCCTGTCTCAGCTTTTGACATGCCTTTCTCACTAAGCTTAATCATTTCTAGCTTCTGATTTCAAAAGAAAGTGATGACTCTTCCTTTCACTTGAACACTTAGAAGCTACTGTAGGGTTATTAATTAGTCCAATTTCAGCATCTTAGTGTCTCAGGGAATAGGGAAGCCTGAGGAGAGAGGGAGGGAGGGAGGAGAATGGCTGGTTGGTGGAGTAGTAAGAACACATGCAACATTTATCACTTAAGTTTGCCATCTTATGTGAGCATGGTCATGGCACCCCTCAAAAATTAGGATAGTAACTTCAAAGACCACTGATCACAGATCAGTATAACAGATATTATAAAAAAGTTTGAAATATTATGAGAATTACCAAAATAAGATGCAGAGTGAGCACATGCTTTTTGAAAAATGGTGCCAATAGACTTGTTTGATGCAGGGTTGCCACAAACCTTCAGTTTGTAAAGGAAATGCATTATTTGTGACATGCAATAAAATGAAGGACA